TTTTATGAATAAACAAAAAATAAATACATTTAATAAACTAAAATACATACATTAATTGATCTCGATTTTAGAAATTATGGTTGTCAATAATTTAGTTTTTTTTGTTTTGTTTTTGTTTTAGTTGTATTTTTCTCTTTTCTGCTGCAGCTGTCTTCTATTATTACTATGAAAAGATTTCACGTTTCTCAAAAAGATCTGGCCCTGTATGAGAACTCCTTACATGTAATGATCGAAGGATCCACAAGGTGGCGGTAAAGTGATAAACGTGATAACCGACAAATAAAACCCCGAAGAAGAAGACATAGCGAACTGCACGTGGTCTGTTGTGTTAAATGTTTGAGTGTTTCTCTGAAAAACTATTTTCTGTCCAGTTTTAACGAGTTTATCAAAAAGCTCCTGTTAACTGCTGCTGAAGAAACTTTCAGAGTTTAAAGAAATAATCGTCAAGTCGGAGGACGAGATGGATGATCAGCGCAGACTGCTGGATTTCTCCCGGACCCCCCGGATAATCTTACACCGATTAGGTAGGAAACACCAGCGTTTGGACGAAGGTTAATGTCTGCAGCTTTCTGTATGAGGATCATTTTAGTAAATGTTCTTTTCCCGTATAAATATTTTGTTAACACGTAAATGAACGCAGACATCACAATTACGCTGTGATGTCTGTGAAGTGCCGAGGTGCCGAAGTTTTTATTTTTTGTCATAAATTGTTGTCTCTGGTGACATTGCGAATAACAAGCCAATACACCCTCTCTCCTGTTTTTCCCGTTTTCTTTTTGATCCAGCCATTGTTTCATACAACCAGGGTAATCAGAATTTATGTATCAGAATCACAAACATTTTTTATTTGTTTATTTATTTTAAGGCTTCATGTTGTTTTGCCTATTTTACATATATTGTTCACTTGATGTCACAGTGGAGCAGATGAAGCACCGCGGTGCATCGGCTCATGAGTCCAGTGATTGGATGGAGTTCCTCAGGGCTTCATGAAGCTTCATCTCATCATCACTACTTTTCATTGTTTCCTCTGCTGCTCTGGTCAAAACCTACAGGCCCAACCCAGTGCATGCTGGTCCGATACCAGTCCCTATACTGACGGAAAATGGACCCACAGTTCTTCCTGTTTAACTTAGAAAAGTAAATAAGAAAGGAACAAAAACTGAACAACTATTAACGTACAAATAAACTCATGTTTGTAAATAAACCCCAAAGATATAAAGTGGACTAAAATAACATTTTTATATAATACAGACTAATACAAATAAATAACATCTTGACATAATGCAATTTACTGTTAAATATCAACAATAATCCCTACCTCAATTAATTTTGCGATAAAATATATATTTTAAATCCATTCATTTGAGAATTCTCCAAATGTCAGCTGGATGTGACGACTGATCTGTCTCTCTGTCTACGCTTTTGAATTTTCAAGTATTTTATGTTGATTTCTGTTTTAAACGATGAAAGATTTCTCCTACTTACTTCAATAAAGTTAACAATAACTCTTTTTCTCTGTTTTCTTCTCCAGGTTCCCTGCAGTTTAACCAAGAGAGAAGATCCACTCTGGACCAGGAGGAGTTAGAACCTCTGCAGGGAAAACAAGACCAGGAAGAGACAGAAGTTTCCTGCAGTCAGTGTGAAGAACAGATTGAATTAAAACAGGAGACTGATACCTGCATGTTGGTTCCTGTTGGTGAGCAAACACATCAAACTGAATCAGAACCAAACAGGAACCAAGTCATCTTAAAGGAAGCTGCTGAAGCTGAGAAGCAAACTCAGGAAAGAAGAAAACCTTTCTCATGTGTCATCTGTAAAAAGCGTTTCGCTTTAAAATCTGTTTTTGATGCTCACATGAGAACTCATACGGTTCAAAACCTGTTTTCATGTGTGAAGTGTGGAAAAAGTTTTAGTCGAAAACAGAAGTTAACTCGGCACATGATGATTCACACTGGTGAAAAGCTGTTTTCATGTGGGAGCTGTGGAAAAAGTTTTACTCAAAAACAGGAGTTAACTCGGCACATGATGATTCACACTGGTGAAAAGCCGTTTTCATGTGGGAGCTGTGGAAAAAGTTTTAGTCGAAAACAGGAGTTAACTTGGCACATAAGGATTCACACTGGAGAAAATCCGTTTTCATGTGGGAGCTGTGGAAAAAGTTTTAGTCGAAAACAGAGTTTAACTCGGCACATGATGATTCACACTGGTAAAAAGCCGTTTTCATGTGGGAGCTGTGGAAAAAGTGTTAGTCGAAAACAGCATTTAACTCGGCACATGATGATTCACACTGGTGAGAAGACGTTTTCATGTGGGAGCTGTGGAAAAAGTTTTCGTCACAAAGTCAGTTTAACTCGCCACTTGAGGCGTCACACAGGTTAAAAGCCATAGAAGTATTTTCCATACATGTCCTGTTCACTATTCAATTGATTTGGTTTAACACTAGAATGAAAGACTGGAGGGGTTTCATGTCTATAAAGCTGAAAGTTGTATTTGTTAAATGTGATAATTTGGATCTTCAAATTTGGATTCTTGGAGATGTGCAACCATGACGCATTTTCTTTCAGAGATGCTTTGTTTTTTTTTCTGACATATTCTGTATCAAAAATCAATACTGATAAACTGTATGTTATTGTATTAACATCCTGTTTATGTACAACGTGAAGAGCAGAGGGCTCAGCACACAGCCCTGAGGAGAGCCAGGACTGATGCTGAGAGCTGAAGTGGCTTTGGAGCCCACTGACTATTTCATACACTAACAGAGTTTGACCGGACATGGACTCCCTTCCAGAACATTCTCACAAGATTGGACTTGAGGGATTGAGGGGAGATCAAGCGCTGATTGTAAATATTGTTTTTATACATTTTAACCATAAGAATTTGGATCTACGTCTTTCTTATAATTGTAATTATGTTCTTTGCTTTCATATTAGTCTTTAAAATGTCAGAATTTGCTCATAGGTTTATAGTTTTGTTTGTCTGATGACATAATTTTTAAGTGTGAAATAAATCATAACGATTTGTTACTCAAAAGCCAAGCAGATTTTCTCTTTATATAGTGTTTTACTCTTACTTTAATAATTTCTTGGACAACCTGTGTTTACAATTTCATGCATAACCAAAGTCACTCCCTGAAAAAGTCCCCCAGAAGACAATTTAATATAAAAATGACCAAAATTACAGGAAAATAAATATAAGATTGCACCAACATCAGATCTCTGACGTAGCACTGAATTATTAGCTGCTGTTTAGAAAAACATCTGCATCATCAGCCGTCTGTGATGTACAGCAATATTTCCTTTCAGTGCTTACACTCTTTGCACAACGGTTTCAGACGGAGATAAATCTAAATATAGAGTGTTTTGGAAATGTAGATAAATGCTTCTTTAAATTAAAAAAGCAATGCAATGTGTACAAATATGAGCTAATGTTCTTTGCCGTTCTATGACAGCTGCTTTGGAAAACTCACTATGTCTCAGGGTCAGAAATATTCATATTTACTCTGCATAATCAGTACAAGCAAAATATAAACATTTTGGCAGAAGCCCAGTCAGAGAAGGTCTAATTACAGCTCTACAAACATGCAAAGCAATTTGTCCCTCAAATTTAAATTTTATACAATTTAAAATATTACCACCACTCTATTAAAGACCTGTTTTGACCAAAACACTTTAGAAAAAAAACGGATCTTAAGCATGTAAAACAAGAGGGAGTTGATGGAAAAAAAATGCAAACAAACTCAGTTTTACCTTTCCTCCTCCTGCCTTTGCCTCTCTTCCTGGTGAAAAGTGCTTGACAAGAATCATATATCAGCAGAATTTAAGTGATTCAATCTGGTAAAGTATAAACATACTGAGAGTTTTATTTATTTATTTATTTGTGCGTCTGATCATTTAAAAAGACATTATTCCTTGAAACCCAGTGTAACTATAAATCCTGACAATGACAAATGAGAAAAATAGGTGATGTAAAAGTTCACCACCACCTGCAGCTGCGTTCACAGTTGAGTTATTACATCACTGGAGCTTATCGGCCATCGGTATTAACCTCCATGTGACACAACATACAGATCTTAGGGATCATTTGAATCAGAAAGCTTCATGATGCACCACCATCTGCTGCCCCCATCCCAGTGCTAGGCAAACAGAAATCCAGTCCATGAGGTCCAGTGGATTTTTTTTATGTGTTTCTGCTTGAACACCTGATTTATATGGCTTACAGTCTATAACTTGTTTAAAAAAAACATGTGGATCTATAATTCTGTTATACAGAAGAAAAAATTGGAAAAAGCACTGACAAAGGTTTATTCAGTTTGTGAACATCAATAAAATCCACGTAAACATGTTGAGTTTTAATATTCAAGTGACAATTTCTAATTAATGAATGTGCAATAGTTTCAATCAAGTGATGCAGCATTCAGCAACATCTGTATTTTTTTATTTTCTTTAGATCTGTTAAAAAGTGCTTTGTGTGTCTGGCTGGATTCTCTTTGTTGAAGTCCATAATTGCTTAATGTTGACTTAAAAATGTACTGGTTTCACAGGCTGATTATTTTACTTATTGTATTGTAAAAATGTCTTGCAAT